CGGGAGGAGGCTCCTCCAGGGCCTCGAGCGCTGCGCGCGCCTTCGCCAGCTCCGCGTCTGTAGAAGAAAAAAAACGGCGCCACAAACATGAACGTTGGGCGCTCCGCGCGGATTTCTTGGATCTGCGCTGGGCCCCCCCCTGGCGCGCGGAGCGCGCCAGGGGCGGCGCCGGAGGCGCCGCCAAAGGGGGCCCCGGCGCGGATTCAAGAAACTCGCGCGGGTCGCCAAAAGTGTATGTTTATGGGGTTGTTTTTTTCTTAGAGTCTGGGAAATCTGGAGCGAATATCGTACGGGACCAGAATCGCTCTTCGCTCAGGCGTGCGGGGCCCCATCCCTGCCTGGGGCAGTCCTGCTCCTTTCTCCGCGACAATACCCGAGGGTTCCGCCGAAAACCCCGCTCGCTGGGGGAGGCGCGTGAGTCGAAACATGTTGCTCCTCCCCGTCCTCTTCCTCCTCCTCTTCCTCCTCCTCGTCTTCCTCCTCCCCTGTTCCCCCTGCGCCAGTGTCCGAAATCGCGTTTGAGGGGTGGGGGGGAGGGGCTCCACCCCTCGAACCTCTGGACCCTCAGAATTTATGTTCGATGGCCTCCCAGGTGCCGACGATGCCGCCTCCGCTGGCTCAAGCTGGACTCTTACACGCCGATGCGAGCTCGAAAAGAATCAGATGGCCCAAAGACTGCCCGAGTGGTCTCCAACAAGCCCCACGAGGGGGTCTCCCAAAATGGCCCAAGAGGGCCCCAACAGGGCCCCAAGAGGGGGCCAAGAGGGGCAATTCGAACTGATATGTCGAGTCCTCCGCCCCACCAGGACCCCCGAGACCACCAGCAGGCGCCCAACAAGGCCAACAAGACCACCAGCAGGCACCCAACAGAGGCCCAACCGAGGCCTTCACATGGTCCCCAAGAGGCCTCCCGGAGGCCCACAAGGCCTGACCCGTGCACTTCTTCATCGTCCACTGCTTCGCCGTCGTCCTCCTCATCATCACCACCGCCATCGTCCTCTAGGAGTTGGCGATCTACACGATGCTTTCTCGCTCCCGCCTTACATACACCGCCGCGACAAAAGTTTGGCCGATGTATCTTGCCAAGGCGAATGAAGGCGAGAGCGTTGCCAAGACAACAAAGCGCAGCGGTGGCGCAGCCGCGGCGGAAGAGAAATAATCTTCCACTGAGACGAATGTGCAGTAATTGTTTATTTCAGGGGATTAATAATTCCGCCTGTTTGTTGACGCGTGGCAAACTCTTCCGCGCTGGCGCGAGGGAACTCCATTGGGAAAAGCACATGGGCCTAAACCTTCGTCCCGCCGGAGTAGTGCGCACCTCTGTTCCTATGACACCACCGATCCCAAACCCTGAAATGTTGTGTGGCTCGAGTGAGCTGCGCTACTAGGGCTCGCAGGGCAGAGCAAAACGCTAGTCGGAGCCATTCGCAGTCACCGCAGACTCTGGCGACACAGAGCGAAAGGCTATCTAGGGCTCGCTGCGCCCGCCAGTCTTCGCGACAGTGCCACACAAGGAAAGCTCGGGGCTGTAGTGGTAGCCAGCGGGATTCCCGCCAAGCCAGGGTAAATCACAATGTGGGGCTAGTCGGGCAAGCAGGTGCTGACGGAACTGGTGGCAAGCCAGAACGAGTGGCCATCTGGAGCTCATCGAGACAGGTGCTGGCCAGCGGGATCCCCGACAAGCAAGACCAAGCACTGGAGACTCGCCTGGGCGAGCAGCTTGCAAGCGGTCAATTCGGGGCCAGCTGCGGCTGACGAGCGACCACTCGGGGCAGCAGGTCCAAGAGGCGTCCAAGAGGTCCTCCAGGAAGGCCAAGCCAGGCCTGAATCATTGATTGTCCTTAGGTTTGAAGGATTGTGGCATTTGTTTCAAAGCGGCCTCCCGTCGGCCCAAGACGGCCGAAGTGGCTCCCAAGATTGCCCCAAGATCGCCAAAGAGGCCTCCAAGGTAGCCCAAGAGGCATGCAAGACGCCCAAGACGGTCGTCAAGACGATCTTGAAGCGCCCTAAGAGGGCCAAAAGACGGCCCAGAGGCTCCCAAGACGGCGTCCGACAGAAGCCCCCAAGAAGCCCCCGAATGCCCCGAAGAGGCCCAAGGGGGGCCCCTAGATCGCTCCAAGAGGCCCCCAGGAAGCGCCCAGAAGGCATACTGACCCCAGAAGCTTCCAAGAGGTCTCCTCATCGTTCTCCTCATCTTCCTTCTTCCTTCCTCTCCTCATCCTCCTTCTTCCTTCCCCACGTGTTCCCCGAAGGGCTTCCACAACGGCTGGGGGGACGCATGGGCCAATAGCGTGGCCAAAATTTGCCCGCACGTTTGGCCACAGATGCACTTCCTAAAATGCGGGGGGCGGCGGTGATTCGCCGTAGGCGTCTTTGACCCGCCAGCCCGTCGTATTTTTACTGGGGTGCACGGCGTGCTAGATTTAGTCGGGGTTGTCCCCCTTCAGGAGGAATATTCAAAAATAGTGAAACATAGTCTGGGGACTATGTTTTGAATCTGTTTGGTCATTTTGGGATATGTTTTGAATGTCTTTTATTTTCGTCGAAAATCCCCCTGTAAGGGGACACGCCCGGCTTACGGCCAGAGATCTGGCGGGATATTGGCCCTTTTCTGCAGAACTCCCCGTAAGGCTTCGGCCCAGCCCGACGGCCACCCCGAACACGCCCGGGTAATCGGGTTTCTGGTTCCTGGGTTGCCTCCAAGACGGCCAAGATGTCCAAACATGGCCTCCAAGGTGGTCCCACAACGCCTCCAAGACGTCCAAGACGACCCCAAGAGGACCCAAGATGGCGCCAAGCTGTTTTCAAAACGGCCCATGACGAACCCAGGACGGCCCACCATGGCCCAAGACGGCTCAAGAAGCCCCAAGAGGCCTCCAAGACGGCCCACGAGGCCTCCAAGAGGATCCACATGGCGTACCGCCGAAGAGGCCAACAATCATTGATTGTTCTAGGTGTCTGAAGGGCTGAAGGGTTTGGGATTTTGCTCCGTCGCGGGCTTCCGACAGACCAAGACAGCCCAAGAGGCCATCAAGATCGCCCGAAGAGCGCCCGAGAAGACCAATATGGCCCCAGAACGATCCCAAAGGCCCTTAAGACGGCCCCTAAGAGGGCCCAAATGCGCCCAAAGAGGCCTCCAAGACGCCCAAGGAGGTCTTCAAGAAGACCCTGAAGCGCCCCAAGAGGGCCCCAAGACGACCCAGATAGGCTCCGAAGACTGCTTCCGACGGCGTCAGACTTGCCAGGAACGCCGTAAGGCGGCCACAAAGGACCCCAAGAAGCCCCCAAATGGCCCCAGGAGGGCCCCCAGCATGCCTCCAGGAGGCCCCCGAGAAGCTCCAGGAGGCCCCAAGAATGACCCCAAAAGCCCCCAAGAGGTCTCCTCATCCTTCTCCTCATGCTCCTCTTGCCTGCCTCTCCTCATCCTCAACCTCCCCCACATGTTCCCCCAATGGTTTCCACAACGGCTGGGGGAACGCATAGCGTGGTCAAACTGTGCTCAAACGTTTGGGCACATAGCCGTATCCTCCAAGATAGGCGGCAGCGGTGATTCGCCGTAGGCGGCATCGACATTCAGGCAATACATTCCCACACGAGTTCAAAGCGAGGCCTCGATGGGCCACCGCGTGAAACATGTCTGCATCTCTCCCATCAGAATGCAAACCACGCACACAATAACAGCATCTTGTGGATGGGGGTGGGTGGCCCAGGGGGAGCCAACCAGGCAGCTCCAGGGAAACGGCGCGACAACTGAAACGCTACGTGAGTGTAGTGCTTCAGCGCTGCTGCTGCGCATCTTCCCCGAATGCGGTGGCGGATGTGCGCGGCAGCGCAACTGGGCCAAAGAGGTGGCGTGTGAGGCACGATTCCGATGATACCCAAGCCAAATGTCAACGCCAACCAACCTACACAACCGAACATTGCAAGTATCCGGCTGCTCCCCCAGAATATGCGACTACCTTGGACAGGTCAAACTGGCTGGATCTATGTTGGCTTTCTTGCACGAGCTGGGGCAGGTGGGGCGTATGTCTTGGCATTGGCGGGGCCACTGAGATCAGGGCAACATCAGACCTGCCCCGAGGGCCAGGCAGCCCAGCGACGATCCGATATATCCTGGCGAGGTCCGAATACGATCGACACTCAACCAACTCTGACGTCGACGCCTGTTCTGTGCCCTGCCATGGCCTACCTGATCGTTCCTCGGACCACTGGCCTGAGGCAGGGCAGAACCACTCTGAAACATGATTGGCTCTCCTGATCCCCTTCATCCATAGTTACTCGATGCGTCGGCTCCGTCGCCTGAAGTGAAGGTCCAGTCTGAAATTTCTCCGAGGCGTCCATTGCTCAGCCCGGCGCCGAAGCGAAGAGATCCTGGGCCAGCGTATCAGGACGAGAAAGCTGCGTAGCAGCGGGGCACATGACTCTCTAGGATGCCTCCGGATGCAGTACCGCAGCCGGCCACTCATCTGCCACTCCCAGCGCACATCGGAATCCTCCTGCACATGCAGGAAGCCCTTGCCCCGACGCAGGCTACGCTGCCACCGCGGCAAGTCGGACAGAAGAAACTGCTGCAGCCTCGCCAGGGAAACTCCGCGGCTCTCTCTGCTGGACCACTCCACGACTTTGTGCCCAACTGCATGGCCGCCCCCAAGTGGAGCAAGCGAGGCAGATGCTTGCTGTGTGTCCGAGATGCTCCTCCGCAAGGGCTCCATGCACTGCGGCACAGATAGCGTCGCTTGTGCCAGCACCGCCTCGTGAGATACCGCTGCCGCATCGGCTGATGAGACGAACACTTCCAGCAAATCGGAAATCGGAACCCGGCCGTACTGGCAGCTGAAGAGCCGGGCGTCAGGGAACAGCTCCCGCAGTCTCGCTTCGACGGTGTTGAGAGCGACGCCGTCGACAAGGTCAGCCTTGTTCAACAAGATAATGTCGGCCGCCAGTAGCTGCGCTAGCTGCAACTGGGACTCTGGATCTGCCCTGCCCGGAACAGCGAGCCAACCTTCCCCCGCGTCGGCCGCTCTTTCCGCATCCACGACCGTCACCACGTGATCCAGCCGCGCACGCGTGCACGGGCCGAAACGCTTTTCCAGCATCGCGACCAGCCTCCTTGGATCAGACGCACCGCTTGTCTCGAGGACGAGGTAGTCCAAGGAGCCCTCGTCCACACCCTCCTTCAAAGAGCACTTCACAGCCCGTCGCAGCGCCTCGTCGAAGTCGGGGCAGCATACGCAGCCTCCGAGGCCCAGCACGTCCCCATCGCCCACGGCGGCTTCGGTCCGGCGCAGTGCTCCAGAACCCACGGTGGCAAGCAGCTCCGCGTCCACGTTGAGACTGGGCGCAAGGTCGTGGGCGATGGTAGCGATCCGCAGGTTGGCCCGCGAGCTGTACAGCTTCTCTACGAGGGTGGTCTTCCCGCTGCCCAGGAACCCCGTCACCACGACTACGGGCAGCGGCCGTGGGGCTGGCGGCGCGAAGACGAAGTTCCGCTCTGCGTGCGCAGAGAAATTAATCTGCGACATCCGGGGGCAGCCAAGAGGGGGGCGTCCAAGAGGGGGAGGGCGCGAATAATGGCCGGCGGCAGGTGAGCGGCCCAAGGGGGAGGGGCCAAGGACGTGATGAAGTACGAAGCGAGGCCACGAAATCTGGGAAAGTGTCATGGCCCACGCCAAGATATCCACCCCCCCCCTTACAGTGGGGGCCCATCCCAAGAAACACCTACTTCCCTCCAGGGTGTCCTGGGTTTCTTGGGTTTCGATGGTTGTTTTGCTGTGGAAAGGGTGACGTCCCCACACCAAAAATCAAAGGACGTCCTGGGGTCTCAGGGTCTGGGTTTCTTCTGGAAGGTTTTTTGTGGTCGGGCCTCCACTGTAGTCATCTTCACCCTCTTTGCCGCCCCCGAGACAGCTCCGAGTCCATTCTCGCGGGCAAGGGCGAGCGAAACGCTCGCGCCTGAGCCTCCCTGCACGAATGTCTCCTCCTCCTCCCCTGGAGAGGCCACGAGGCCAGGAGCCGGGCTGGCCCCTCCCCCCCGGGCCTCCCGAGAACCCTCGGGATTCAGAACAGTTTGCTCAGAAGAGAGAAGTAAATTCCCAGAATCAAACTCAGCGCTGCTTCCCGGAAGAAATCAAACAATTTGCCAGAGCTCCGTTTTAGCAGCCACGGATTTGCCAGCCTTCGCCTGGCTTCTGAGGGATGGTGGCGCTGATGCCAAAAACTCGCGCCAGAAACAACAGCATGCAGCAGTTGCGATTGCACGCCTGCGATGGCACTGCAAAGAAGGACTGCAGCGGGATCCAAGAGATCAACACCGAGAAAGCGGCCAGGGATAACGGAGGAATGTGAACGCTAGGTGTGGGCTCTCGTTTCAATACTTGCTCCCATTATCACTAAGGAACCAATTGTGACACGTTGCCAAGGCCTCACGAGTACGACGACGGTGTTGGATGCAGCGAGGTGGCCCTCGAGAACGATGAGAGCACAGAAGACTGATATTTGACGGCGGTGGTATGACAATTGATGACGACAACACAGATGACAAGGTAGACGATTATGAACCGCCGCAACACCACTGCAGACTGAATGCGCGCTAGTCCAGAAGCCCTCAGAGGAACTTGTACCACAGCGTAAAAAATGCGCAGCTCGCAATTGTGATTGAGATCACCACTCGCTCCTTGTTCTGGCGATCGCTAATCTTGTCGATGAGGCCGTTAAGACCCGGGAATAAGGAGGATATGGTGCCGACCTTGGAGTTCGCTTCGGTCAGCGTCTTCCTCTGGCCCTGCAGCATCTGGTGCGTCGCTGACGCCTGACCGATGATCTCATCGGTCATAGACAAGGAGGACGCCAAGGAACTCCTCTCTCGGAGGAGGCCCTCCTCCAGGGGATACTCGACCAACCAGTATGGAACACACTCGAGTTCCCGTCCGCACAGTGATTTAAAATGTACACCCCTTGGTTTGACAATGTGGTGTGATTGTCTCGGCCACCCTGGGACCAAAGCCCGCAATGATAGGCAGAAAAAAACGCTAACCCTTTGGGAGGGGACCCAAGTAAGGAGGGTCACAAACATTAGGGATAAAGGGGGTTCTTCTCTGCAGGTGTATCGGACCAAATTGCCCATGTGTTATCCCTAATGTGAAGACGGGGGCCTGACTGAGGTCACGTCCCCATCGTGTCATTAAGGCTAGGGGCTCGTTATTTCGATATCTCAAACCTTTCGGCGTGGGGTACAGATCCTATACCGTTCAGAGCCCCTCGGCTCCTCGGCCTCATCCAGCGACTTGCCGATGCCGCCACGGCCCCTCGGCAAGAGCCTTGCGTGCTCGCTCGGGGCGGGATTCGCGGGGACGCCAGGAGCGAAAAATGGCTGGAACCTCCGACCGGAAAAATCCACCGACCCTGCCAGCCTGTGTGAGGAGGAGGGGAAGGAGGAGGAGGAGGAGAATGAGCAGGAGAAGGAGGAGGAGGAGGAGACAGGAGGAGGAGACAGGAGGAGGAGGAGGAGGAGGATCAGGAGAAGGAGGAGGATCAGGAGAAGGAGGAGGAGGCGGAGGAGGAGGAGGCGGAGGAGGAGGAAGGTGCTTTCGATGTGAAGAACTCCCCCCGTTTCCCTGCGGCCACCTGGGGCTCTCCACGCACGCCACTCCAAGGTGAAATTTGACCCAGGTCACACTGAAGTCACAGGGAAGCCTCTTCGCTTCGATCCCTTGACTGCTGGGGGGGGGGGCAGAGGGAGGGAGGGAGGGCATCCCCCTGGTCGGTCTTGGCTCTACTTATCCTCCAACGACACAGCGGGGGATTGCACCGCATGAGGAGCTCTCGAGGCTGGCCTGTCCAGCCGCATCTCGCAACGCGAGGGTGCCTAGACAGCGGACAACTTTTTGACGCTGAGGGAAATCACAGCGCCGTGTAAAGACACTACAGTCGGGGCGCTGACCTAAGGAACCCCAAACAAGGAACGAGGCCCATTTTCTCCAGAAGTTGAATTTCGATTTCCCTTCGAAAACCTATGGAACACGCGGGGCAAACTGTGAAACGATTAAGGAACACGGAGCCCCTACCCAACGAAAAGAGTTCCTTCTTCAGCGCCCCGACTGTACCAATTGTTCTGCCCCATCTCTGCGTTCTACTTGTCGGTCCATATCGATTTGACATGGTCCCCGAGCCCAGAACGGCGCAAAGCAAGCCGTCGCGGATTTTCGGGAAACCCCGGGGTGATAGGGGAGCAGCCCTGGCGCCCCCGATCACCCCACCCCGGCTGGTACTGGTGTTCGATGCTCTCCGCCACCCGCTTGAAGTCCCGCTTCATCTCCTCTCGGAGGAGGGTCAGGGAGGGAGGATGGCCGCCGACGCCTCGACCGGCCCTCCTCCAGCCCCCTCGGCGGGCGAGACGGTCGGTTTCCGCGCCTTTCGCCCTCCCCCCCCCCTCGCGGGAGGGGGGGGGGGCCATTCGAGGGCGCCGCGCCCGAGGCCCTGGAGGAGAGGGCGGACACGGGGAGGGAGGACGAGAGGGGAGCAGGCGGAAGAGAGAGGGAAGGGGCGGAGACGGAGGAGGAGGGTGGACGGGCACATGCGGAGGAGCACGGACCGGTGGGCAGGGCGCCGGAGAGCAGCAAACGCCTGGGATCCCGAGGGCGGCCACGAGCAGTCTCCGCAGACCCTGCCGCGCGGGGCGAGGTCCGCGGCGCGACGGGGCCCCGCGCACGACGCGATCGGCGAGGAGGGGGGCGCCGACGGCGCCCTTGGAAACCCCAGCGTGCAAACCCGAGGACTCCCACGGGCGTTGGGCGTGGCTTAAAGGGGGGGTCACAAATGGGGGGTCAGAAAAGGTCCCCTTTCGTGCCCCTTTCGGGCCCCTCCAGAGCCCCAGGGGGCTCGTTTAGGTACCGTTCGGGTACCTTTCCGGACCACGCTCGCCACCCCCCCATTTATGACCCCTCCATTACGCGGCGCCCAAGGGCGGGCCCCCTGGCTGCGGTTCGGGCATCCTGCAGCATCCCGACGCCGCTCCTGGAAGACTGAAAGTCAACCCTGCGTGCTGGCAGCGGATTTCGACTCGTCCCCTCGGGGCCCTCCCCGGACCCCCTCCCGGGACCGCTCCCCCGGAGGAGAAGAAAAAGGACCGGAAGAATCGAAGAGGGAGGAAGCCACAGAGCCGCGAATAGCACCGAATCCGGAGCCTCCTGGATCGGCGGCACTGGCCGAAGGCCATCACAGTAGTCAACCCTGTGCGCCAGCAACTTATTTCGACTTGAGGTATTGTGCACTGGCGGCATCTTGCCTTGCGCGCCCAGCTGCCCAACACAGGGCAGGGCAAGCAAGTCCAGAGCGGTCTGCAAGAGAGGGGTAGCTGCTGTGCAAGCTCAGGTAGGGCACCAGAAGGGAGGAATCAGCCAATCACAGAGGAGGGCAGACCCCCTCCCCTGGAGATGCTATGGCTCTGCCGCCCAACACTGACAGGGCCTTGGCAAAGACGGCGACCAATAATGCCACAGCCGTAGGCCCCAAGATCGAGGATGCCGTCACCTTCGACGCCATCGGTTACTAACCAAAAACAACCCCTAACCCGTTTGGGGGCGACCTAAGTTAAGACGGCCTCAATCAATAGGGATAGGGAGTTGTCCTGCAGATGTATCAGACCAAACCGCCCAAAGTTCTTGTCCCCAATGCGAAGACGGGGACCTCAGTGAGGCCGCGACTTCTTCGTGTCATTCGGGTTAGGATTGTGTTTTGAGCAGGGACCGACCGTGCCGGCATCTCTATAGGCCTACCACGACATGTTCTCAGAACCAAAAAAACCTCGGACAACAAAAACAATGTTCTCAGAAGGTGAACCCGATGTGCTAAAAGAAGACAGACCCAGCCAGAAATGTTCTAAGAACACTTCGTGCAAACCACCAGAGGCTCTCAGAACACGGTTTGGTAGGCCTCTACGCACGCCGGGACGCTTCGCCACTGCTTGACTTTGTGCTCGATGAGTCGGCGTCCGTATTTTTGAGACCCTCGCTGGCAAGAGCGGCCAGTGCCGCGGCCGGACCCGCCCGCGCAGCAGCCGCGCGCGCCGCGGGCGCCGCGCGCGGGGCGCGCCACGGTGACAGGCAGGCGGCGCGGAGGCAGGCAGGCAGGCAGGCCGGCCGCGGCGCCCAGGGCCACGGCGCAGGCCTTCGCGGGTGCCGCTGCTGGAGCGGCCCGTGCGTGAGCGATGCCGGAAACCCGGAACCCAAAGAACGTGTCCATCTCTTGGGGGTGCACCTTGTGCTCCCGCCCCCTTCCGCCGCCCTCCCGCCGCCCTTCCGCCGCCTTCCTTTTTTTCAACGCGACTCCCATTGCCTAGGAAGTTTAGCGGGGGCTCCAGCAACTACCGAGTAAACGACGTGGCGCGATCAAGGTCGATCGAAGTCCGCCGCCTTCCGCCGGCTTCCGCCGGCGGAGGCGGCCTCGTTCTGCTTCCGCCGACCTTCCGCCGCGGAAGAGTTGACAACTCCTTTGACCCTCGGAGGCCAGGCCATTTCTGGAACGCCTCGTAAGAGGAATGGCCGGAGTCACCGAGCGGCGAGCTGTCCAGGAGGGCCACTTGAGACAGGGAGGCTTCGTCCGAGTGGCTCGGGCCAGAGTGGCGACGAGGCAAACCAGGCAACGTGCTACAAGGGAGCAGTGCAACGCAGGTCTCTGGCCATCGCTCGGACGTCCATTCTCTGTGTTTTTTTGGTTTCGTGCGCGGTTTTTTCGCAAAATGATCAAGGACGCTTCTCGATGGCCCTCGCCGCAGGAAAAATGCACACATCCGAGCGATGCCAAGAAAGAGAAATGAGGACGAGAAGAGGCGAGCAAAGCGAGGGAACGATGCCCAACTTCAGACGCATCGGCACTGAGCCCCCCTGGTAAGACAGATCAGCAACATCCAGAACGGATGTGAAAGCGGGGCTGGCCGTCTCCTGCTGGGTCTCGCGGAACCTCGCCGCCTGCGCTGCCTCGAGGGGGGCTCCCGGGCGCAAGCTCTCTGCGCGCGGTAACATGATAGCTGCCCACGAAGAGCTGGGGCCGCCTCCCTGTTCACATACTGCGCAGAAGCATCTTGCCTCGCAGACGCCCCAATGACGGTCCAGCACCGCACCGTGCAAATAACGTTAGCCTCATACAGCACACATGCCAGGAGGTGGCGGAGAGAGGAGCTGAGACGCGTCCTGGTCCACATGCACCTCGGCCAAGCGAAGCGCCGTTTTCGCTCCAGCCGACACCCCCCAAAAGCCAGACAGCGGGACTAGTCTGGCCGTGGCGGGGACAGGGACAACGACAGGCCAAGAAGCGGTGTTCGGAACAGACGTTCACAGTTTCCCTTTCGCCTGGGCGCTGGTGGCAGCAGCGCGGCCCATCGCTTCGCTGGCTGCCTCCAGGTTGGTCAACCCACGCTCGACCTCTGCAAGGCAGTCAGAGAAAGACAGCGAATGGGGTCCTGACAGCCTGTATGCTCCACCTAGGACTCCACGAGCTATAAGACAACTTGGACAACAATGATTACATCCTGCACGTATTACAAGATCGTTGCATGTCATGCAGCTTGAACTCTCACTGAGAGTGAGGCCGTGTGTACAAGTTCGCTGGCCCGCTGTACTGCATGTTATTCAATATTCTGGCGAGTGCAAGATGACTGATGCGCCACAGACGCACATCTGATTCTTGGCAACGCGTACACCACGAATCGAGTATACCCCGAAAACACACCTACACTAGAACCATACGATGGAATCATGACTCTTTCGAGCCTAGCGCGCAGCTCGGATACGGAATGTGCCCTGTGAGAAAGCGGTCAGGTCGAAACGCGGGCGCAGGGGGGAAGAGCAGTCAACACGTTCTGATTGCATTGGGAATTCGAAGGGGGTCAGATGGATGTTGGGGGCGAAGGGGGGGGCACTCAATCCATAATGATACCTTGTTTTTGCGCCGTGAGATTAATCAATGGATTCTGGCCAACAGAAGGACTCGATGCCACCGAACCCACTGTTTTCACACTCGCAAGCCCACAGACATAAGCACAAGTACACACAAACGCATATACACACTCATGTCGACAAACGCGCGCACGCACATCGTTCTTGTGCGACGGCAAGCGCGCGCGGTACACCACACAGGCCGTCATATTGTGAGCCTCTTGGGTGCGTAAGGAGCCTCATGTGGGCAACTCGGAACCTCTTGAAGGATTCCTGCGGTGCTGAAAGGCGCACAGCGTTCTTATGGTCGAATCCAAGTATGCGGCAAGGGCGAGCAACATGTGCGATCCAATAATCGAGCCTGATCACGGAATTGGACATCGCGTCAACCGCACATCGCGTTCAGACGGCCTGACCCCAACGGATATCACAAGCGACGAGTGGGAAGCCAGCCCACTACGTACTATGTACAATTTGATATTACAGCATTGGTGACACACATGAATCATGCATGCTGGCCTACAGGGAAGGCGCTGCTGCAACCGAAGACGTTGGGACGTCAGGCTTGCATGATTGCCCCTCGCTCTTCGCTCTTCGCTCCACTTTGCTCTTGTCCCTTTAGGTTTCCCGCCCGCTTCCCTCCTCCTTTTCGTCTGCCACTGTGACGACTTCACGCCTCCCCCCCTTGGCAAGCCTGGAAACGGCGACCCTGGGGCTACTGGACGTGGTCATGAGGGGGGGGGCAAGAGGCCATCCCGCAAGGCTTCCTCGCAAGAGAAATCAAGAGCTGGGCGCACAAAAACTAATGTTGACTCGGGGAGCGAGTACATATTGCCCAAGAATGGGCACGGCGTGAAAGATCAGGAGGCGCTTCGCCAGACCTCCTCCCGTAGGCTGACCACGAGCTGGATCTGACCCTCAAGGCCGTGCACACGGTCTCCAGGCGACTCCGAAGAGGTAGAGCCCAATCTTTTGTTGAGCCGCCCGAGCTCCTGGGTATCACGAAAGCGGGGGCGCTTGGCTATAGATTATGATGAGGATGACATGTGCTGCTGGTGCCACTGGTTCTGCTGATCGCGGTCGGCACCTCGTGAGCGCAGAAAGCATCGAACGTGGCGCGGGGCTCCGAGAGCGACAGCAGCCCGAGCGAGCAGCCAAAGAAACACGAACACACACAGAGAATCACGCCACCCCTGCTGCAAAAGTGGGTGAATTATCCGGGTTCTCGCAGGGCGCGCGCCCGTGGGGCGCCTCATGTGCTGCCTGGGTCCTAAAGCCTTCTAAACACCTTCATCAGGAGGTGTTGTTTGGAAGAGCCTTCCTGAACTTCCCAACGACCTTCCTCGGGACGGCTTTGTGGAAACACCTTCCAAAAACCTTCCAAAAACCTTCCTCCATATTTTTTTTTAGGGAAGAACCTGCCCTGGGTTCTCGCTGGGCGCCTGCTCTTGGGCACCTCGTCGGCGCCTCGCGCGCCGGTTGGGTCTGCCTGTTTTTTCTTGCCCCGTGCCCGGCCGTGGGGGCCCCGTGGGCGCCTTCCCTGCGGGGTGTATCAATATCACTACTACTGCTGCTGCTGATACTACTACTTCTACGACTACTACTACTACTACTACTACTACTACTACTACTACTACTACTACTACTACTACTACTACTACTACTACTACTACTACTACTACTACTACTACTACTACTACTACTACTACTACTACTACTACTTACTACTACTACTACTACTACTACTACTACTACTACTACTACTACTACTACTACTACTACTACTACTACTACTACTACTACTGCTACTACTACTACTACTACTACTACTACTACTACTACTACTACTACTACTACTACTACTACTACTACTACTACTACTACTACTGCTGCTGCTGCTGCTGCTGCCTACGACGACTGCTACTGCTAATGCTGCTGCTCCTACTACTACTACTACTACTACTACTACTACTGCTGCTGGTGCTGCTACTACTACGACTACTACTCCGACTACGAGTACTACGGCTACCACTACTACTACTACTACTACTACTACTACTACTATTACTACTACTACTACTACCACCACTACTACTACTACTACTACTACTACTACTACTACTACTACTACTATACTACTACTACTACTACTACTACTACAACTACTACTACTACTACTACTACTACTACTGCTGCTGCTGCTGCTGCTGCTGCCTACTACTACTACTTCTACTGCTGCTGCTGCTACTACTAGTAGTAGTAGTAGTAGTACTACTACTACAACTACTACTGCTGCTGCTGCTACTACTACGTTCACTACGACTACTACTATTTCTACTACTACGGCTACTACTACTACTACTACTACTACTACTACACCTACTACGACTAGTGCTACTACCACCTCTGCTACTACCTCAACTACTTCCTCTACTACCACCTCTACTACTACTGCTACTACTACTACGACTACTACTACAACTGCTACTCCTACTACTACTACTACTACTACTACTACTACTACTACGTCTCCTACTGCTACTACTACTACTACTACTACTACTACTACTACCTCTACTACTACCTCTACTACTACCTCTACTACTACCTCTACTAGTACTACTACTACTACTACCACCACTTCTACTACTACTACTACTGCTACGACGACTACTACTACTACTACCCCTACTACTCCTACTACTGTGGAAACTACAAAGGACACCACTGCTACTACTACTACTACTACTACTATGGGTACGACTAATACTACTACTCCTACTATGGATACGATTACTACTACTTCTATTACTCCTACTACTACTATTACTACTACTACTACTGCTCGTGCTACGACGAATCTTCGTACTACTACCACCTTTACTACTGCTGCTGCTACTACTACTACTACTACTACTAGTACTACTACTACGACGACAACAACTACTACCACTACTACTACTACCACTACTACTACAACTACAACTACTACCACCACCACCAACAGCAACACCACCACCACCACCAACTACTACTACGACGACGACGACGACGACGACTACTACTACTA